TCGACAGTGATCACGCTGGACCCAGGCTGCTGCATAGCCCGAAAATTGTGTGTGTGTTGGGGGGGGGGGTGAAATAATGACCTGCCTTTCTTGTGGCATAGATTGTGTTAGGTTCGATGGAAAACCATGTTTTTATGGAGCCAACTTCCGGCATTGGTTGTTTTTCCATTGTTTTGGTCTCGAGATGTCAATTTCTGTATTCTTTTTAATTCCAGCTCATCAACGGAAGAAACCAGAAAGCCCAAGAAAACGGTTCCTGTCAGTTGCAAGGAAGAGCTGTTGCCAATCAGAATCTCACGGCACAAAATCGAGAAGTGAGTTTCTTGTACTATATCATGTTCCTGCGTGCGTATATTTCACTTTGCCGCATTTTCCAATGCCGAAATGCTAGCAAGGGACCCACATGTATGGAAACTATATTGTTGACTGTGATTAGGGTATGGGTGGGCTAGATTTGTTATGTGCATGCATTCTTATATTTTGTCATTAATCGTCCCTGCATATGTGGATGTTAGCATGCAGTGTGCTTTACAGATGGTGCCACGCTCCTTTCTTTAACAAGATTATGCTGGGAGCCTATGTACGAATAGGCATCGGTAACAACAATGGAAGACCTGTGTACAGGGTATGCAGTGCCATCTGTAGTAGCTTTGCAGAGATATATGGTTCAGAGACCTTCTAAATATTAGATCATATCATAATATAATTTTTACATACGTGAATTGCGACGTGCATCAGAAATGTGACTTTTATAGCTATATGTGACCCGGGTAACCATGTTATTATTGAGAATGTGATCCTGCTTACAATTGTCTGCGTTTACTGGCAGACATGGTGAATACAATGAATAGCATGGCCATGTAAGAAATGTACTTGTGTCGCAGATTGCCGAGGTTGTTGAAGTTGTAGAGACAGCAAAGGTTTATCAGCTCGGCTCTACACGGACGAATAAAGGTTTGAAGTTAAGGTGAGCCGTTTTTTCTTGTCTTACATTATATAGGGGTCACGCCACGTGTGTAGTGTTTACTGCCAACATTAAAATTTTAGTGTCATATAGTGATAGATGCTGGGTGGCAAACTATGAGACAGAGAGGTTTTAACTCGACGTCTGGGCTGATAATGTTTATTCGCCTTCATTGGGCACTTACATCATTTTGTACAATGGTGGGTACCACTCTTAGCTTTTATTTTTTGGTTGACTATGGTCTTTTGTCTCCTTTTCCAACAGGAAGCCATTTTAATGACTATGCTTCATGCTAGTGTGTGCTAAGTGTATGCCTAAAACCACATGCCTAAAACCATATGCCTAAAACAATCAAATGGGGTCACTGTGTGAACACAAGAGCGACGCGCTCACCTGCTCGATATCCTTGTCGGTGAACTTGAAGTTGAATGCTGTCTGGATGTCCTTCTCCTTCTGGTGTATCTCGTTGAGCGTCGGCAGCGTGAGGTCGGCGAGCGTCATCGCCTCCTTCCACTTGAAGAACTCGTTCTCCGTGTAGTCGCTGTTCGAGACAAACTCGAGCCGGAAGACCCTCTCCTGAGAGCCGTGCCTGAGCGAGAACGTGCGCCGAGTGATGAGCAACGTAACTCGCATGGGATAGCTCAGTAGTCGAGCTACGCGGTCGAGTTACATCAACTTCTCCATGTAGTTTCGCTAGGTTAGCTTGCAAACAAAAACGCTTGCCGCAAACTAGGCAATGAATTGTTAGCGTGTAACTACTGTTTTTAGGCTACACATTGTCATAGTGACGTAACTTGACTGGGAGGCTTGCGTAGGAGCTATGCGACGGATGTTACATTTAGTTCTCCATGCAGTTTCACAGCGTTAACCTGCACGGCTTAGGCGAGAACAGTTGACGCCATTGTGCCATTTAGATATCCTAATACGTATGAATATATGCCATGTTTTTGCAAAAATAAAATGACAAATTACACTTTACATATTTCTAGAATAGCCTAAGGTAAGTTAATGTTGACTGAAGCTTCAGTGATCTAGAATGCAATGGTTTTAGGCATATGGTTTTAGGCATGTGGTTTTAGGCATATGGTTTTAGGCATGTGGTTGTAGGCATGTGGTTTTAGGCATGTGGTTTCAGGCATATGGTATTAGGCATATGGTATTTGTCATATGGTTTTAGGCTTATGGTTTTAGGCATATGGTTTTAGGCATATGGTTTTCGTGTACATCGATCTCGACATGGCAGCCATTGTTGCGTTTTAGCGTGGTGATTTTGAATATCGTTTTCTAGAACGTCCCATTCTAGTATCAGGGACATTGAATGTTTTTCTCTATGCACAGATCATGCTATAGTTCCAAAAGATTTGTAATGTTGAAAAGGTGATTAGTTTAAGACATAAGTAGTAAACTATATGATGTGTGGGTGAGTAAATGCATGAAGTTTTTTGGTTACGGACGGATAGCACCTTTGACAGTGGCTTCATACTTATCAAGTTATGCGTTGCGATACACCATGCTATCGGCATCAGCTAATCGCGTGTATTGTATTTGTATTGCATCTATTTCCAGATCGTGAAGGAGAAAGATAGATTCAGGAAGAACCCATGTAATTACGCAATGCGCAAGGCTAATCTACAGAAGGCCAAGGTGAGTAATATCACTGACTGATGCATATTTCTCGTTAAAAAATCATTTAGCCGTTGAGGTAAAAGAGGGATCAGTTAGGGTATCATGGCTAACTCCTCTGGCCCGTGGGGTTTGTGATCCTATTTGATTTATTCTTTGTGTTAAACAGTTACCTAATTGAATTGTTATAATTAATTATACATCAACGCTACGAAATTTGAATGGCGCTATTGACACCCGCAACCGTGCTGCCACCCTGAAAAAGTCGTATTTCCCATTATATTATGCACGTTAGACCGAGGGCTAATCACAAAGATGCAATAATATTTATACCTAAATGCTATTTAATTGAACGATGTTCATTTTAGGACAAATTTATCCATAATATAACTGAAACTATATGTCGTTTATAAGATATTACAATCTTTTTGCTTTTAAATTAATAAATAAGGAACACCCTCGGTCTGTAGCCCTTGGCTGAAAAGTCGTTTTGCGCAACTTTTCAGATCGTGCGCTTTGAGTGGCGCCACCGTCGTTGTAGTCAAACTGTAGTCTAATGATGATTGAACCATGAAACTTTTTATGTAGCGTAATTTTAACCTGAATTAACTGAAAATAATCCTAGAACCTAGAGTAAAGGATCCCTTTAAATTGCTCACTGTCACTGTTTCTGTCGTCGGACATGCACTGGGTTAGACAATGTATTGCAGTGTTAGACTCTGTTGCGGTGACCACCATTGTTAGAAACTACACGTGTGGCATGCTGGTACCTAGCTGACATTGTCCTGACACCAGGTTAACACTGCTGACACAGCTGACAATGTGCTAACACTGTACTGACACCCTGCTGACAATGTGCTGACACTGTACTGACACCCTGCTGACAATGTGCTAACACTGTACTGACACCCTGCTGACAATGTGCTTACTCCATGCTAACATTGTGCTTACACTGTGTTAACAATGCTGACACAGCTGCCAGTGTGCTAAAAAGCACTGACTGAGCACCCTGCTGACAAATGTTCTTACTCACATGCCTAAGCATTGTAGCTTAGCACTGTGTTAACAATGCTGACACAGCTGGCCAGTGTGGCTAACACTGGTACTGACAACCTGGCTGACAATGTGGGCTTACTCCATGCTAACATTGTGGGCTTAGCAGCTGTGTTAAGCAATGGCGACACAGCCTGGCCAGCTGTGCTCACACTGGTAGGTGAGCACACCTGGGCTGACAATGTGCTGACACTAGGCTAACATTGCTGAAACAGCTGACAGTGTGCTTATAATGTACTAACACTGTGCTGACATTGGTTGGACACTGCGCTGACATGTGCTGACACCTGGTGCTAACACGGCGCGCTGGCACTGTCTCGACCAGACCAAGCATGCAGGTTTACATGATGTGGCTGATACTAGGGTCTACCCCGAGCTGACATGATCGTGCTGATACTGGTCTAACACGCAGGCTGACATGATGTGGCTGATAGGGTGGTCTAACACCGAGGCTGACATGATGTGGCTGATACTGGTCTAACCGGCAGGCTGACATGATGTGCTGATAACCTGGTCTATACACCAGGCTGACATCATGTGCTGATACTGGTCTACAGCCAGGCTTGGACATGATTGGCTGATAGCTGGTCTACAGCCCAGGCTGACATGATGTGCTGATACTGGTCTAGACCCAGCTGACATGGATGTGCTGATAGCTGTTCTAGACACGCAGGCTGAGGCATGATTGTGGCTGATAGGCTGGTTCTAACACCAAAGCTGACATGATGTGGCTGATAGCTGTCTAACACGCAGGCTGAGCATGATGTGGGCTGATACTGGTACTAACACCGGCACCAGGGCTGACATGATGTGCTGATACTGGTCTAAAACCAGGCTGACATTGATTGGGCTGATAGCTCGGTCTGAACACGGAGGCTGAGATGATGTGGCTGATAGCTGGTCTAACACGGCAGGCTGACCATGTGGCTGAGCACCAGACCACATCAGGCTGACATGATGTGCTGATACTGGTGTATTACACGCTTAAGCTGAGCATGTATTTGTGGCTGATTACTTTGGTCTACCCCAGGGCTGACATGATGTGCTGATACTGGTCTAACACCCCAGGCTGAACATGATGTGTGATACCTGGTCTAACATCAGGCTGACATGATGTGGCTGATACTGGTCTAACACCAGGGCTGACATGATGTGCTGATACTGGTCTAAAGGCCCAGGCTGACTGATGTGCTGATAGCTGGTCTAACACCAGGCTGACATGATGTGCTGTGCAGGAGTGGGGCTGGTCGGTAACAGCCAGCGACATGATTGGGCTGATACTGGTCTAACACGCGAGGCTGACATGATGTGCTGATAGGCTGGTCTAAGCACGCAGGCTGAGCAATGATGTGCTGATAGTGCTGGTCTTAACAGCCAGGGCTGACATGATGTTGCTGATACTGGCTAAGCACCAGGCGAGCATGCATGTGGCGATACTCGGTCTAAGCAGGCGCAGCTGACATGATGTTGGCTGATCACTGGTCGCTAACACCAGGGCTGACATGATGTGCTGTACTGGTCTAACACGCGAAGGCTGACATGATGTGGCTGTAATACTGGTCTAACACGCTGACATGAATGTGGCTGATACTGGTCTAACACCAGGCTGACGATGATTTGCTGATACTGGTCTAACACGCAGGCTGACATGTGCTAACACCAAGACGGCAAACAGCGCAGGCTGACATGATGTGCTGATACTGGTCTAACACCAGTGACATGATGTGGGCTGATAGCTGGTCTAAGCACCGAGGCTGACATGTGCTAAGCACCAAGACCTAACACCAGGCTGACATGATGGGTCTGATACTGGTCTAGCCGCAGCATAGCTGACATGATGTGGGGCTGATACTGGTCTAACACCAAGCTGACATGATTGCTGAATCACTGGTCTATACACCAGGCCTGATCATGATGTGGCTGATTACTGGTCTAACACCAGGCTGAGCATGATGTGCTGATAGCTGGTCTAGACACCAAGGCGCTGACATGATGCTGCGATAGCTGGTCTAACACCAGGCTGACAATGATGTGCTGCATACTGGTCTAACACCAAGCTTGACATGATGTGCTGATACTGGTCTAACACACAAGCTGAGCATAGATGTGGCTGATAGGCTGGTCTAACACGCAAGCTGACATGATGTGCCTGATACGCTGGTCTAACAGCACAGGCTGCATGATTGCTGAAATACTGGTCTACCCCACGCCAAACGGGCCCCTCGAGGCTGACATGAATGTGCTGATAGCTGGTCTAACACGCAGGCTGACCATGATGTGCTGATAGCTGGTGCTAACACCAGGCTGACATGTGGCTAAGCACGGCAGACGGCAAACACCAGGCTGACATGATTGCTGATACTGGTCCTAACACGCAGGCGACATGATGTGGCTGATATGTTCGGCTAACACCAGGCTGACATGATGTTGCTGATATCTGGTCTAAGCAGGCAGGCTGCATGTGCTAACAACCGCAGACGGCAACACCAGGCTGACATGATGGTGGCTGATACTGGTCTAACAGCGCAGGCTGACATGTGCTACCCCAACAAACACGGGCAGACGGCACATCTAGCTGACATGATTGTGGCTGATACTGGCTGCTAACGACGCAAGGGTGAGCATGTGGGGCGCTAACAGCCGACGGCACCATCATGGCTGACATGATGTGGCTGATGCTGGTCTGGTTTGTCTATATTCAGGGGCGGTACAGGAGATAATTTGGCATATTTTGTTCAGCGTGGTTTGTGTTATAAGCCAATCAGATGTTAATCGCGGTGGCGAAGGAGAGGAGAAGGCTGGTGGAGAAAGGCAGGAAGGGGAGAAGGGAGCAGGTGGCTGGTAGGAGGGGGAGAAGGGGGCTGGGGAGAAGGAGGAGGGGAGAAGGCTGGCTGGAGGAGGTGGTTGGAGAAGGAGGAGGTGGTCGGAGAAGGGGGAGGGAGGTGCCCTTCTCCCTGGCACGGGCACCTTCTCCCTTCTCGGCAGCGGCACCGTTCACGCACCCACTTCTCCACCACCTCCTCGGCTTCCGCACCAGCTTCTCCTTCTTCGGCGGCTTCCTTGCATTGGCTCGCCGCACCAGCTTCTCCCCCTCCTGCCTTCCCACCAGCTTGCTCGCCGCTCTGCTCCTTCTCCACCACCTTTTACGCTCTGGCGCCCTTCCTCCTTCTGCCACGAGGCTTCTCCGGGCCTCGCTTCTGCCACTAGGCGTCTGCGTCCTCCTCCCACGCACTTCTGCCCTTCCTCGGGCGGCTTCGCTCTGCCAGGGCGGCAGGCTTCTCGCCCTGCCTCTTCTTCCCTCCACCACCTTCTCGGCGCTTCTCTCCTTCCTGCTTGCTCGCACCTAGCTGTCTCGCGCGCGCTCCTCCTCCACCACCTTCTCCCTTCTTCGCCCTTGCGCTCCCTGCTTCACGTATCTTCTTCACAGCTGGAAGTGACGTCAGCGAACACGCGATTATGGGCATCTAATTGGTTATAACACAAACCACGTGATAAAATATGGCACCATTTATGCTCGCTGTAAGGCCGGGCCTGAATGATTAGCCAAACCGGCTAACTGGTCTAACACGGCAGGGCTGAGGCATGAGTGGGGGGCTGATACTGGTCTAACACGGCAGGCTGAGCATGATGTGGCTGGATACTGTCTAACAGCGGGCAGCCTGACATGATGTTGGCTGATACGGTCTAACGACCCCGGCTGACATGATGTGGCTGATACCGGTCTAACACCAGGGCTGACATGTGCTAACACCAGACCACCCCACCAGGCTGACATGATGTTGGCTGATACTGGTCTCACACACGGGCAAGGCTGACATGATGTGCTGATACTGGTCTAAGCATCAGGCTGACATGTACTGTGGGGGCTGATACTGGTCACTAACACGGGGGCAGTGCTGACATGATGTGCTGATAGCTGGTCTAACAGGGCAGCTGACATGATGTGCTGATAGTGGTCTATAGCACCAGGCTGACATGATGTGGGCTGATACTGTCCACACGGGCAGGCTGAATGTGCTCCACACCAGACAACACCGAGGGCTGATCATGATGTGGGGGGGCTGATACGGGTCTACAGCACCAGGCTGAGCATGATGTGGGCTGATACTGGTCTACAGCGCAGGCTGACATGATGTGCTGATACTGGTCTATACCAGGCTGACATGTGGCTAACAGCGGCGAGAGCGGCAACAGCCAAGGCTGACCTGATGTGGGCTGATACTGGTCTAACAGCAGGCCTGAACTAATGATGTGGCTGATACTGGTCTAACATCAGGCTGACATGATGTCTGATCCGGTCTAACACGCAGGCTGAGCATGATGTGGGCTGATACTGGTCTAACACCAGGCTGAGCTGATGTGCTGATACTGGTCTAAACACCAGGCTGACATGACTGTGGCTGATAGCTGGTCTAACAGCCGAGGCTGACATGTGCTAACCGCAGACGGCAACACCCGGCTGAGCAGTGATGTGGGCTGAATACTGGTCTAAGCAGGCAGGCTGACATCTGTGGGCTGATACTTGGTCTAACGCCAGGGCTGACATGTGCTAACAGACCAGACGCAACACCAAGGCTGACATGATGTGCTGCTAACTGGTCTAAACACCAGGCGACATGATCTGATACTGGGTCTAACACCCAAGCTGACATGATGTGGGGGCGTCTGGTGCTACACACGGCGGCGACATGTACCCTGATACTGGCTAAGCACGGCAGGCTGACATGTACTAACACCAGGGCAACACCGCGCTGGCACTGTACTGATACTGGTCTAAAGCACGCGCTTCTGGCTGTAGCTGATAGGGCTGGCTAACACGCACGCCTGACACTGTGGGGGGCTGACAGCGGCAAAAATCAGGCGTGACATGCTACTAACCAGAGGGGCAACACGACCGCGTTGGCCAGTCGTACGACACCGGGTCAACATCAGCTAGCCCACTGTTCTAACAGTCTGCAGCTGTATTGGTGGGGGCAGTCGATTGCATGAGCAGCGATGTAACAACTGAGGCGGACGTGGACAAGCTGACGGAACAGCTCGGGCGCCCTGGAAGAGCGGGCCGAGGAGCTCGATCGCATTCGCACGGGCAACATCTCTGCCATCAGCTACATCAACCAGCGAAACCGACAGCGCAACATCCCTCCGAAGCTGAGATACATAGTGGTGAGTGCGCGGGGCAGGCCCGGCCCAGTGCAGAACGCTGGTGTGGGGGGCTGTGTGGCACATGTGGGCAAATGGCAAATGTGTAGGATGCTCTCCAACGGCTGCGCGCAGTGCTGCCCCGCGGCATTACTCGTCGCATTACTCGTTGCATTACTATGCCGCATCTAACGTAGCATTACTTGCCGCATCTAACGTAGCAGAGACGCACACCCTGCGGTGCCAGCGTGTATAATAATGAATAATAAGCGTAATAATCTCGGTGCATATATTTTGACGTCCAGCCGTCTCTGCTACGTTAGTTGCACACTCATTGCATTACTACACCTATTTGGTGCAGAGGCGTCCAGCCGTCTCCGGCTCCGGCGTTAGTTGCACACTCATTGCATTACTACACCTATTTGGTCGACGTCCAGCCGTCTCCGCTACGTTAGTTGCACACTCATTGCATTACTACACCTATTTGGTCGACGTCCAGCCGTCTCCGCTACGTTAGTTGCACACTCCATCTGCATTAGCTACACCTCCATTTGCGTCAACGTCCGCAGCCGTTCCCGGGCTACGTTAGTTGCACACTCATTGCATTACTACACCTATTTGGTCAACGTCCAGCACACCCTGGAGTCTTTAAGTTGAGGCACACCCCTAGCGCAGGCCTCTCGTTTGCGTATATACACCACCGTCGGTCTCGTTTGCCGTTTGCCCGCCGCACAGCAAGAGGTGCAGGAGATGCGCAACGCGGGCGGCCAGGCGGACCGGCGTTCACGGGGCGGCGCAAGTGTCTGCCGACGATGGTTACGAAGACGCGCGACAACGTCCCGACCGAGCATCCCGGGGGGCGAAGCCTAGCGCAGGCAAGCAGCGGACCGTGACGGCCCGCGACCCTCGGCCCGGGGGGCCGGGGGGAGGGCGGCCCTCGGCCGGGGCCGCCGCCAATACCGACGAGCACAGACTGCAGGTATGTAGGTGTGAGGAGGGTGGAACGGGTGAGTGACGTGCCGCTGCGCCAGGGTTCTCCAAGAGCACTTATAGCCTGGCGCCCGCAGGCTATCGTCGAGCCCACCAACGCTAAACATGCCACCGCGCCACTCCTAAATATCATAGCCGCCATGCTAAAATTAGCTAAAAAAATGCTAAAACCAGGAGGCCGAATAGGGCAGCCCCCCGGCCAATGCGCTATAATTGAAAAAGCTTGAGAACCCTGATGCGCGCGTCCGTACATCGAGGTTAAGAGCGTCAGTTGTTCGTAGGAAAAAAAAAAAAAAAAAAAGAAAAAACAGGCAGCCAGAAATTAAAATGCTGGAAAGCGAGGATAGCGATCAGGGGGGGGGGGGGGGGTCAAATTTCGCCATGGTACCGCATTTCAGGAGCGTGTACAGGTTTTGTAGCGCAGGGGGGGGGGGCTCTAAGCCATAACGCGACAGTGTGGCGAGCACGCGCGGAAGTGGGGGTCAGGGGGCCCTCCCAGAATCATTTTTGAAATTAGACGCCGTTAAGATTGTGGGCGTTTGCCTGCCGGGGGCAGCATGGCGGCACGTCGTCGAGCTGCCAGTAGATGTGTGTTTTGCTCAGACAGGCGTGCAGAATGAATATATGTGGTGGTGTTCCAGTATTGTGAAATTAATCAGAAGTAATAATTACGAGAGGCATGTGGTCTTTATAATAGCCCAGCTTGGCAGCAGTGTAGGAATAGCGTGGGCTGGTATGATTGTTGTATTAGGGCTAGTAGATATACATTGTCTAACCATGCGTGGCGTAGTAAGTTGACAAACCCTTATTCTAAGACTATGTTCCCGTGGTTTTTTAAGCCGCTCCAATAGTGTGAAGCTTCTGTTGAAAGCCATTCAACACAATTATCTCATATTATATAGTTGCCAGATGATTGTTCGATGCTCAAGCGTGCTTCTAGCTTCAGCAAGCAAACTTGTTGGCTGTGGTTATTGAGCTGGATATGTTTACGAGTACTGCGAGGGTAAGTCCATTACGAAAAGGCGATCGCCCTGCCGGCCCTTCACAGGAAGAACCTGTTCTCTGGCAGCACGATTTTTGATATCAAGATAGATCTTGAGGTCCCAGCCTATCAGGTAAGCATCAGCAGCTGCGGTCTCAAATGTTTTATAAGATTTAATGTTGTTGCAAATTTTTGCAAATGAAGATGTGTATACACTGCAGTGTTGGATTATCTTGAATGCAGTAAAAGCTAGTATCGAAATTACCAAAAAAGATATAAGTATAATTTAAAGATGTGTGAGATGCTTTCTAGAGTGCATTTTACGTGTCTAATAACATCAAGTAAATTAAGGCCATTGATACTGAAAACGCATTAATGGCAAACTAACCTTCTCTCCGGTTCTTTCTTCACACCCATCTTTGGTGCACTGAATGTTGCAGTAGCTTCATTCGCCTTGAAAACAAACACCAAATTCAGTTTCCTTGTCGGCGAAGTCTAGTTACTTGCAGACAGCACTTGACACACCCTGTATAGTATACACGGGGTCAGAAATAATTTGAAAATTTACATGCCAGTTCGGGCCGTGTAGGTAAGGGATTTTACAGCCGCGGAACAGGCAAATTACAGGCCCGTATCATTCCGGCAGATCCTGCAGAAATTAAAAAATAAAGACTCGAAAGTTGAAATTTTTGTGACAATGGCTTATTTAGGCAGTATTATGTATTACAAAGAAGCATATTCAGTGATACTAATGAGCTGTCAGAATTCTCGATTGTCGCTCCCTGGTGTCTTACTCTCGGACTCTTTCTTAAGCTGTTGCTGGGCTTGGCAGCTACGGAATAGAATGTGCACATCGATTTTCTAACTGGCCCGTCGGCGTTGCTAGTATTAGAAATGTCAGCCGCGAGCACTTAAAATATGGGCATCGGGCCCGCGGGTTAGGATTTGAGCACCATGGTATAAATAAGTGTATCATTGGGCTGTTCGTTGCTAGGCCACCACACTGCCCGTTGTGCTGCCCAAACCATCCCCGCCATTAGTGGATAGACGCGGCACCCGGCCGCTACCTGCAACCGTCCGAAGCTTACACAGAAACGCAGAGGACTTAATATGCACTGCCTGCATGTAGTGCGATCATCAGTGGTGCACCACCTGTAATATACCTGTAATATAGGCTGCCAAGCCTCGATAACTTTGGCATGCATGATTCTCTAAAGCAAATGAAGAGCTAATGACATGAAATCTGGTAAAAGTTAAGCTAATTCATGTTCCACCCTTTTTTTAT